TTCTCTCCTGTTATTAACTCGCTCCCTCTCTTCTCCCTCTCCTCTTTTCCTAGTCATCCCATTTCTATCTTTTTTTCATTCTCCTTCCTTTATTTTTCCTCTTCTTGCCACTTAAAAAGCGCCTACGTACTAATTTCCTTCTTTTTCTCTATTTCTAAAGGCGTATACTTTTCCCTTCCCTTCCTATTCTTTCGCTCTCTCCCTCTTCAGATTTTCCCCTTTTCCTTTACTCCCTTTCCACCTTCTTCTTGTCCTTTTGTCTCATTTCTCCCTCTCATTCCTTTCACCGACCTTTTCTCTCTCTTTTTTTCATTTCCTCCTTCCCCCCTCCTTCCTCTTCCTTCTTCTTACTCCTCTTTCGTCTCCTCCCTCTCCCCCTCCCCTTCCCTCCTCCTCATACCTCAGCATTTGATTTATGCGGAAAACTAATTACGGCTTTAATGTGAAAGATTCCATCAAATTCTTGCTGAAGTGAATAAAAAATGTATTGATTTTAGGACATTTTTTTTCTTTTTTTAGACGCCTTGAGATTAATCGAAGTGATGGTGATGGCAGTTATAAAGTCAAAGATAAGGAAGTTGATGGTGAATTCACAGTTGCAAAGAGAATGATGACTGCGGGATAAATTATACGGACATAAATCATACTAACAGTAATAGCAATAAAGATAATAACAGCAATATCAACATGAATAATAGCTGTAGTAGTAACAATAGTAGCAACAATAACAGTAGAATTACTAGTAGCATTAGTAGTAGTAGTAGCAGTAGTAGTAGTAGTAAGACTAATATTGGTAACGCTAACAACAATTAAACTAATAGTCATAATTGCAACAACAATATCTATATGTACAGTGGTATATATCATAACAATGATAAATATAGCGGAAACTGAACTTAATGACTAAATACCTTAGGTATATCGCAGACTACCTTCATATGTAGCATCCAAGCCTTTGTGTTAAGCTTACAGAAGAACGTTTTGGGTGTGATACAGCACAGGCGAAAGGGAGGCTGGATCTCTGCCTCTCTTTGTCTGTGTGTGTCAAACACCTACATACACACACACATCTAAGCGCACAGCCGTAAAGCACCAAAGAGGACTAAAGTGACCAAAGGGATGCGCAATTAAAGAACGTAACAGAAAAGGTAAAACTGATAGGGTAAAAAGCGAAAGTCGGGAAAGGAAAACGCAGGTAACAGGATGTCACTGATAATAATACTAATGATACAGGAAGTGATTAGGAAAAAAAATAAAAAAAGATATGAGGAAGAAATTAATAATACAGTCAAGTTTTAGAGCACTCGGCTGACATAAACTGGGAACAAATAGGAGAGAAAGCGGGAGGAAATGACAAAAGAAAGAAAGAAAGAAAAAAGCAATGCGCAGATCAAAAAGAGAATAAACGACCAAGAACAGAATGGCCAAGCGCGAGCCACAGTGGAGACGAGCGAAGACCCCGACCGCCGCGGGGGAGCCGAGCAAGCCGCGGCCGTGATTCAGGGCAGCATCGGGCCGCAAAAGAGCCCGACTAGTCCCCATAAATAATAGCCGACATAATTCACCGAGCCTGGCAAGTGGCGTATCCTGGGGGCTCTAGCATGCAGTCATGCGGAGGCCTCCTTTAACATGCAGCGTCCGCCCATGGCTTGCTCATTGCAGGACGCTGTGGGCTTTTGCATGTTTTGGAAGATCGCGGCTGTTTTTGTTGTGAAGAGATTATGAATTACCAAGCTGAGATATTCTGTAAGAAAGACCTTGAAGAACGTGACCGATCGGCTGTTTCAGCCAAGAAATACTGATCCATCAACCCGGATTTCGGAATACGGTACTCCCGAATTAACCTACACAGAGGGCTCTGGCGATTTGATGTCTGCTGGGTGATCTACTTAATATACTCATTATTATAACCATCACTATGATCATCATCATTATCATCAAGATCATATGTGATAATAGAAATTATAAGCTTTCATGGTCACTGATGCAATTAAAATATTTCCACTTAAAGAATTACATTAAAACCCCCTTTCTCAGTTTCACAGGTGACATCCGTAAACATAACCTCCGTGGCGAAGGCAACGTCCTAAGTGCAATGGTGCAAAAATTCCTGGATCCGGATCACGAATCGGACCACCACCAAAATCTGTTATGCTAAGACACACCTGTGGTTAAGTTTTCATAAAAATCTGTTCATAATCTTTTGAGTTGTCCTGCTAACAAACGGAAAAATAATATCAGGATCACCACCAAACTTTAATGGCTAGGCTAAGACACACATCTAGCCATTTTTTCCCGCTAACCAATAAACGAACAAACAAACTAACCAACGCGACCAAAAAGATAACTTCCTTGGCGGAGGTAATAAATGATGATGATCATTGTTACTATTGGAATTATTATTAATACTGTTATAATAAATTTTGTTATTATTATCATTACCATTATCATTGTTCTTATCATAATTACTAGCATTATTATTATTATTACCAGTATTAGGCCTATTATCATCAGCATTATCATCATTAATACTATTACGACCATTATCATTATCATCTCCGCCATTTAATGTTACTTTTCACACCACTGTGTACCTTTTTTCTCTTCTTCCACTAATTCAAAACCGCAGAACAAGCCTAACGACGCGCCCAACAGGAAATGAACAAGCAGGGAAATTAAGCCTCTCCTAATGTAAGCAAACCCCTCCCACCTCATATTAGCAAGCCCCTCCCACGTCATATAAGGAAGCCCCTCCCACCTCATATTGTCGCCGGAAATGAGGTTCCGAATACGACTTCTGTCAATCAGCTGTTGCTTTCTGCGGAGGAATCCGGGTCCCGCGAGAACAAGGCTTAAGAAGGGGGCTTGAGGCATTGGTCTCCTTCGAGCCGGAGGAGCATTTTTATCAACGCAGAGATAAAGGGGATGTTATCGGCATTAGATGATGGTAATATAACGATACAGTAATGATGAGATTGAGTACGGTGATGAATATAAGGGTTACCAAAAACAACAATAATCAGTACAAAGAAAATAACGTGTACGTAGAAATAAAAAGAAAATAGCCATGATATGAAATTAAAATAAACGTAACGTTCCAACTCTTCAAAATTTCTTCAAGGAAAGTCTTGGCGAGTTCAAAACATTGCGTTCATTTTGAACTCGTTTTAGGGCTGGTTCTCCTTTTAACAACGGTAACCTAAACAAAGAAAACTATAATGTTATAAAGAAAACAATGATGAGGATGACAATATAATAGTAGAAAAATAGAATAGAAAAGATAATGAAAACAGTCATCAGAAAAAAATGAAACAATGATAACGGTAAAGAGATGATAATAATGATGATGATGATAAAAATATATTAGTAACGGTAAGAATAACAGCAACAACACCAAAATCAATGATAATGATACAAATGATAATAATGATAATAATAATGATAATAATGATTAAAATAATAATGATAATAATGATAATAATAAATAATATAATAATAATAATAATAATGATAATGATGATGATAATAATAATAGTAATGATAATAACAATGATATTAATAACAATATTAAGAAAAATAATACTTGTTATAATAATGATGATAGTAATAATGATAATGATAACAGTAAAACTTATGAGAATAACAATCATGATTATAATAACAAAGATAATTTTGATAATGATAACTACTATAATCATTACTATTGCTTATAATTATGATGATATTGATAATGATTATAATACCAATGATAATGATGATGATGATAACAATATTGATAATAATAATAATAACAACAACAACAACAACAATGACAATGATAATAACAATAATGATAATAATGATAACATAAAATTCATAATGCTAATATAAAAAACAGTACTACTCCTACTACTACTAACACTAATGATGATAATCATAATAATAATGATAATGATAATGACAAATAACAGTAATTGCAATAATGAGAAGAATAGCAATGATGATGATGACGATGATGATGATAATAATAATGATAATAATAATAATAATAATAATAATAATAATAATAATAAATAATATAATAATAATAATAATGATAGTAATAATAACAATAATGATGATAATGATAATAGTAGTAGTAGTAGTAGTAATAATAATAATAATAATGATAATAATTATAGTAGTAATGATAATAACAACAACAATGATAATAATGATAACAATATAAAACAATAATGTTAATGATAATCATTATTATCGTTATTATTATTATTGTGAATATAATGATAATGATAATGATGCAAATAACACTGATAATAACGGTTATGAACACAGTATTAACAAAAATAATAACAATAAAGAAAATAAATAAAAAAAATATATATAATATTATATATAATATATATATATATATATATATATATTATATATATATATAAATAAATAAGTAGTATTAGTAATTTTGATAATAGAATGATAATAAATATTAATGATAATATGATAATAAATAATAATAATAATAATATATAATAATAATAATAATAATAATAATAATAATAATAATAATAATAATTAATAATAATAATAATAATAATAATAAATGATGATAAGTAATAATAACAATAATGAATGAGATGATAATAGTAGTANGGTGTTTATTGGTTTATTGTTGTTATCAATCTTATCACCATTATCACCATTTATATTACTGATTGATAACTAGACTTTGATTGTCAATATTGTTAACAGTAATTACTATTATTGTCATTGTTTTTGTTGCAGCAAAGATTTTTCTACTATTGTGGTTGTCTGTAATGATTGTGACATTGATGATTATTACTGTTCCAAAGATGGATTTATGATTATTTTGTTGTTGATGTCATTCCTGTTATTATAAGATTGTTAATTTATTGTTTGATTCCAGTATAACCGTGAACAGTCGTTGTCTTTAATAGCTGTTGTATTTGTGATATTCTTTTTGACTAACATTGCAAAATAGCAAACTTACTAAAGCCTTTCCTGGTTCCTCACAGTTCGGCATACGACAGAGACCGGATGTCGCCCTATAGATCAGATCACCGTGGCCATTCCACGGCCAGCAATGGTTATTCATCAGGTGAGTTCTGGTGTAAGAGGATAAGGGTAGGACTATAAAAATTATGATATAAAGTTGAGCAATAGAGCCAACTTTATAGCCTGCAGAATGTATTTACAAGATTGTACAGGAATGTGTTTTATGGGTTTATATGGGCAGAAAAAACTTTCAAGTATGGAATTGTGGATAAGGTTAAGAAGATGCTGTATATATGTTCATGTTGGCAACATGAAAAGAATTTTGTGCTAGGGTGTAGGATCAATTGACGAACAGCCTTCACAGGTTAATATAGTGTAGATTTAAAGTTTGGAAATATTTATTTGACTATATGTGCTGATCAGTCTTACCCCCTTCCAGATAATGGATCCGTCGGGAGTGCCGAAGATGGTCCGACCTACGTTCTTGAGCACCTGGCCACCTTCAGAGTGTCGCCAGAATCAGACCTCGTGTATCCCGCAGATGGGATGCGACGTCTTCTACACATGGAGAAAACCTCAGGAATCTGGACACAAAAGATGATGTTGCGGTTAGACAAGAAATGGGTTTGCATACAGTCACACGAAAATGGGGTGAGTTTCTGATACGTACAGTTTTTCCCCACGTTTGAGAAAGCTATCAGTATGTCTGCTATATGTACCCTTTATCTGTATTATGTCTTTAATGTGTTCAATATGGATGAATTCTTGTGTTATATGAGTGATTTTGATGGATGAAAATAAGGATGAAATAGATGCTGTGAAATGTAATATCTTCAGAATAGCCCAATATTCAGTATAAGATATTTATAATACCAAAAAGAGCACAAAAATTCAGTGATATGATGTTCCATGAGAAATTATGGACATAATCAAGTGAGAGCAAATTAAAAGTAAAGTATAAAGTAAAGATTCAAATCTTTGAACTTTTTTACTCGGTGTAAGAGTACAATCATGAATAGATTTTCCAGTGGAATTGTAGCTGTATTCAGTTATTTTTATTGAGATGAAGATGCACTCGTCTGGTTAGTTATGGTTGATGAGAGGTGGACAGGTTGGTAATGATAACTATTTGATAAAAATGGGTTGGTGATGATAATTATTATGAATGATGATGTTAATCAGATTGTTAACAAGGCAGTCATAACCAACTTGGATCTTTTCTTTCCTTAAAAAATGAAGTAGAGCATAGAATGCAATGTCCGTAAACCGCTGTACATTGCTATGATATTCTATTTTTGTCGAACGCTAATCGTTTACTTGTGATGTTACCTAGACAGTCGCATTAGTCACAGGTGGACTATTCTGTAAATTATCAAAGAATTGGATGTTCCTCTGACCTTTTGTTTTGTACGCAGGTGATGATAAGATAACATATTTTGGTTATCATGGAGACAAACATAATGGCATGAAATACCTAGTGAATGATACAGCTGGAGTATTATCATTAGAACTAAAAATTTCTTCTTACACATCATGCAAAATACTGATATTTTATTCTCAGTGTTGATATACATTTATCATTTTTTTCCCCATGAGAAATATGTTCTAGATGTATCTTGATCTTATCTTAAAGAATGATAAGAGATAAATCTGAAACGTTTTACGAATCGCAGTTGGAGTTCTGCTTGATATCACTCAGTCAGAGAATACAAGCTGCTTTTATTGTCTTGGATGTTAATTAAAATCAAAAGTTTTCTGCATTTTTTTTCTTACACGTACATTCATCAGCATTCATGAGTAGGCAGAGTTTATGAATGGAAAATAGCTCTTTTTTGATAATGTTTATGACTTTTCATGTCATCTTGTATACAGACTTATTCCATTGAGTTGATAAGATAAAAAAATAAAATTCAATTTATTAAGGAAATTAATCTCTCTTATAAAATACCAGGAAATAGAATACTACTATTCAGTAATGTACAGTTGATTTAGTTTCTATTATAGTTGTATTAATGAATTTGCCAGCAAATAGGCCGAAAGAATTTGCATATATGATTGAGATTGTCTTTATTTCTACTTTAACATTGTTATCACAGTATTTGTATTCCACTTTATGTATGATTTTAGGTTATAGGTATGACTATGCAATCTTTTCAACACGGTTATTGCGAGGTACTTCATTTGGTTTTAGCAGAGATTCTATCTGTTCAAATCCAGCTTGTTAAATAAGTGTTGTGTCTGCTTTGTTTCACATAATCGTTTGATTATGGTGTGAGGTATTAGTGCATAATTTTATATGAATAAAGATAGTTTTATGAACCCATGAATATTCCTCTAGTTAACAGTTCGACATTCATATAACCATTACGGTTCTTGCTTCATTCAAGTAGTTCAAGGGGCACTATTTCAAATTTCCTTGAGGTACCAAATATTCAGCTGAAATTACCTACTGCAGCACAGTACTTCAACAAAATAGGCTTCCATCAGTGCTATTACTGTAGCTTGAAAGTTCAGTTTGCTCATGTATGTGTTGAAAATTCTATGATTTTGTAAAACCTAGAAAATGTAGATATTCACGTAAATGCCTTTGCATGTCTTGGGTGAGTCGTCTGAGACTTGTGTGAAAATTATGCAACATAAGAAGCTAATGGAAGCAGGTCTATGAGATATTATCTATTGAAATGATAGTAAAATAGAAGAGCTGGACGCTCAGCCAAATTTGGATAAACTACGAGTAATCACAGATCTTACTTTTGTTTTGCCACTTTATACAAATGCCAGTGGACAGAAATAATGCTTTCTACTTTGCACTGTATTTGGTTAGCTCACTTAGGGTCCCCTTCGGAAAGCTCAGGCCAGCAAGCACCCAAGCCCTCCATCCCGGATTATTTCTGAATGTTTGCTATCTCTACTTTCATTGTCCATTTTCTTATCAGTTATGTCTTCAATAGTCTTCCTTTATGCCATCCCTGCTCTGGAAATTTACTCATTGCCTTCCTCCTTTGTTTCAGGACACGGTGGAAAAGTTCCCGATGGAGTTGATAAGGGAGCCAACAGCATTTACAAGTGAAGACCCAAAAGAGCTGTACAACAACATTTTCATTTTCATTGTGGCGGAGGATCCGAAGCGTAATTACCAGAACCCAACAGAAATGCACATTTTCCAGGTACGTAGAGGTATTGTGAAGATAAGTAATATTAGTGTCAAGGTCTAAACTTTTAACCTCCAAGCTGCAAACATACTAGGTTTTTATTATTGTTAGTGCAAAGTGAACAATGATTTGCAGGGATGTTGAGAGGAATTTTAACATGGGGATACAATTCTTTCAAACCTCCTTCCCTTTTCTGTTAAAAAACTTGTTTTTATCCAATATGAGTTTATTGCATGAGCAGTAAGGCTAAAACTGTATGGAAGATTATAAGAAATTTATAAGCTCAAAGATTTGGAAGAAATTCCCAGCCCTTTTCACTAGTGCCTGGATAAGATGCACCTTTGCACTCCCTCATATGTCTTGGTGATTTTCCATGGAGTTTAATATGAGAATAGGCTGTTTTATGTTGACACAAGAATTTGTAAATTATCAGCTTGGAAAAAAATTGTCCATTCCATATAATTTGAAGGCAGTGCTATTTACCACATTTATGAAAAGTCTGTTAAAAACGGGCATGCTCTTTTGTGTGTGCCTTTTCATTATCAGTGAGACTTATGTAGTGTCCACTAGTATATCCAGTACTATTTGGCCATTTTTCACAAGCTATACTTGGGATATCACCCCAATACCCCCACTCCCCTTGTAGGCTATTCTCTCCCTTTGTCTGTCTCTTGAAAATCCTTTAAATAGGGTATGAATCTATTCAGTGACTTTGTACAAATACTTATGCCATTAAAATTTTGGCATTGTTTTCTTTTGATAAAATTTCACATAATTGAGGAGAGGGCAGATAGAAGATATCTAAAACTTAGTGTAAAGTTTTTCACATCCAGATGTAAGGTTTAGTGATATGGGGGTTATTATTATAGACCACAGTTTGTAATGACAGAGAGATGAAATTTTAACATCATGTTTAGTGTTATGCCCATTCTACATATCTTTCATGGATGCAGTCTGTGAAAAAAAAATTATAGTTGAGCTAGTTATGTCCAACTCCTGTACTTGAAATAATCAAGTAACCAGTCATTTATGATACACTTTTTTGTATGTAATAGATATGACATCAATTGCTTAGTGGAGAATGTTTGTAGAAAGATATTCAGAAAATAACTGCGTTCACAGTTCAAGGAATAATGTAAATACATCAGTGTGAATTATACTGTCTCGGACATGCAATGATTGAGAAGTACCGAAAAATAAGTCCTGATTCCAAGGTCTCTTTCAATCTCCCCCTGACTTCCCCTTTTCCTCTTTTTTTACATTTTCTGTTCCCTCTTTCTGATTCTCTCTTTTGCCTGCGTAGATTTACACAAGACGCCTGGTTGATCATGCTGTCTGTAAAATATATAATTTAGTATTAGATGTCTTATGTATTATGATGTTTTCTTATATTTAGATTACAATCAATATGTCCATGAGTATTTAACTTTTTTCCATAATATGATACTACAAACTGACATGAATAGTAGAGAGTGGCAACATTTTGTCAAGGCGAGAGAGAGAACTTTTATCACTGTACCTTTAAAACAATTAATAGACGTTGTAGTACAAGGACTACTATTTGAAAATTACGGTTATATGATATGATATATATATATATTGTATGCTAGGATGAATTATTGAGGCAGATCACTGAGAGAGTAATAGGTTAGAGGAGTTGAAATATTTTGAAAGGATTTCTCTATATAGAAAAATTTCTTAAATGTTACAAGATTCAATTCTTTCCGGTTGAATGAATCTTCTCAGAAGATTTCCTCTTATCCAATTATTGGGATGTGGGTGTGGTTTTGGGTGTGGGTGTGGCTGTGTAATATATATATTTATTTTAATCTACTTTATTAGTTTTTATTTTTTCTGTATTTTATAGCTTTGTTTCCTATTATTTCATAGTTTTTGAAGGTAGAATTGAAAAATGCTTCCTTATGAACTTGTTTTTAAGAATTTTTGTATGCGGTTATTTGAAAACCTTTTTCTTTGTTCACATTCACAAACAGTTTGATTTAAAAAAAATTCTTTGGATAGAAAGCTTAAACTAATCACCCCTCGATTTCTCTCACAGTGCTTACGAATTAGCGCCAAAGATGTGGTAGAAGACATGAAACTTTTCATGTCTGGCAAGGGAGTGCCTGGACGAGGGGGAGCAGCCAGAGCCAAGCGTGGAGAGCACATCCCACCTCCCCCTCAGGAACCAGCGCCTGAACCTCCACTGGGAATGAATGGATATCGAGGAGATTTCTGTAAGTACACTGTTATGGCTCTCAAAAGTTTTGTATTGTAGAGAAAAGGTACACGTGATATGGTCATTATGATTTAACCAACCGAGAAAAGTGCTCTTCCTTTTTTGAATGTCTTATAAGTGTGTTTACCATTGGGGATTCATTTCTTTACACTTTTGGTTATTTTATTTCCTTTGCGTTTGATTGTTGTGAGTTACTCTTACATGGAAAGACCTGTGGCAAGCTGATGACTGATTGCAAGTTAACAACTTACTTGAGTACGATAACTTGAAATACAGCAATGTTATTCAGACATGTTGCATTCAGCCAGTTATCACCAAATTCTCAAGTGCATATTTGCCTTGATAAGAGACTCTTGAGAGTATTGGTGGGTATTTACTCTGTATCTATAACCTCTGCTGTCCCTTTAGAGCTTTTATATTGCATATTATATCTATTCCTGAAATGATGTGCAGAATATATGGAAAGGTTTTTCAATGGAAAGATTTCTTTGCTAGTTGAAAATATGCATTTAACTGTAAATAAGTGTGAGAAGGAAAATTGTAAAAAAGTATGAGAAGGAAATGATATTGGGGGCTGCTGTGATGCAGCAGTAACAAAATCGGCTAGGGACCAGGAGGGTCTTGAAGTAAGGTCTGCTCATAGTCTGAAATGGGGAGGAGCATCTACTTGGGATGATGGTTCCTACATACCAAACAAAAGTCCTTTGAAAAGAGGCACTGCTGTAGCCCTTTTGACACAGAACTGGGTCATCAGTAATATTTGTGACATGAGTGTGCAGAGTTATTTCATGGAATAATAAAGCAAATTGTGTATTAATGGAAGAGTGGATAAAGGTAATATTTGTGTAATAGAATATTAATATTTGTAAGAGTTCTTACTGTTACAACAGTTGTAAAGGTTGAAGAAAACGTAAGATTATATGCTAAACTTGTCCCAGTTTTGGATAAGTGATGGAGTTTTATTTTCACCATCCTCCTCCATCGTCTTTCCATACCTTCCTCTCTCTCTCTCTCTCTCTGATCTCATGCCTCTCCCTCTCATTCTTTATATTCCTGTCTTTGTGCCTCGCTGTTTCTTTCTCACTGATCCTGACCCTCTCCGGCTCCCTCTCTCTCTTCCTCCCTCTCCCCTTGCTTTCCGCTTCCCCTTCACCTTCCTCTCCACATCTTTTACCCTCCCCCTCTCTTCTCACACACTCACACACACTCTCATCACACACACTCCACTCTCTCTCTCTCACACTCTCTCTCTCTCTCTCTCTCTCTCTCTCTCTCTCTCTCTCTCTCTCTCTCTCTCTCTTCTCTTCTCTCCCTCTCTCTCTCTCTTCTCTCTCTCTCTCTCTCTCCCTCTCCCTCTCCTCGCTCTCTTTCTCTCCCACTCTCCTCTCCCCTCCTCCCTCTCCCACTCCCACTCCACTCCCTCTCCTCTCCTCTCTCTCTCCCTCTCCTCTCCCTCCCTCTCCCTCTCCTCCCTCCCCTCCCTCTCTTCCCTCTCCTCTCCCTCTCCCACTCTCTTCCCTCCCTCCCTCCCCCTCTTCCTCTCCCCTCTCCCCTCTCCCCCTCCCCCTCCCCCTCCCTCCTCTCCCTCTCCCTCCCTCTCCCTCTCCCTCCCTCCCTCTCTCCCTTCTCCCCTCCCTCTCCCTCTCTCCTCTCCTCTCCCTCTCCCTCTCACCTCTCACTCTCTCATCTCTCTTCTCAAAGATTATCCCATTCCCGCGTGGTTAGCCAACAGACACGCTCGACCACACTCTTCCACCACACGCCTGACTGATGACGTCTTGATCACGCATCGAGCAGGCGAGGAGGAGAGGGGGAGGTGCGTGCAGAGAGGGATAAAGGGGTAGGAAGGGTGGAATGAGGGGGGGAAGAGAGCGAGAGGCGGAGAGAGGGAGAAGAGGGCGAGAGGTAGAGAGAGGGGGAAGAGGGTGAGAGGTAGAGAGGGAAAAGGGTAGAAGGAAAGGGGGGAGAGCGAGAGGCAGAGAGAGGGGGAAGAGAGAGAGGCGAGAGGGGAGAAGAGGGCGAGAGGTAGAGAGAGGGGGAAGAGGGTGGAGTAGAGAGAGGGGGAAGAGGGCGAGAGGCAGAGAGAGGGGAAGAGGTGAGAGTAAAAAGAGGGAGAAGAGAGCGAGAAGGTAGAAAGAGGGAGAAGAGGGCGAGAGACAGAGAGAGAGAGAGAGGGAGAAGAGGGTGAGAGGTAGAGAGAGGGAGGAAGAGGGTGAGAGGCAGAGAGGGACAAAAGGACAGAAGAGGAAGAGGGAAAGATTGAAGGACGGAAGGACAAGTGGATTGAAGAGAGGGCCAGAGGGACAGGAAGAGGAAGAAAGAGAGAAAGAGAGAAAGACGAGAGAGAAGAGGGAGAAGGCGAGGAGGGAGAGAAAAAAGCGAGGGAGGGAGTAATAGGAAGGAGAGCTAGACGAGAAAATACAAAACAAGAGAATTGAAAAAAGAGAAACAGAGATTTAACAAAAAAAAGAAGAAAAGAAAGAAAGAAAGAAAAACGAACATGGCGGTTCCAGGCACGAGGGCGAGGAGGCAGGTTGCGAACTCGCCTCCATCGTGTGCGGGGGGGGGGGGGGTGCGGACACTTTGCACTCTCCTGGGAAATTACTTTTGCGGGTCGTTGAGTGTGTGAGTGTGTGTGTGTGGGAGGGGGAGGGGGAAGGGAGAGGGGGGGAGGAGGGTACTTCTTGTTTTTTATTCCTTTTTTTTGTTTTTTTTCCGTTTTTTTTTGTTTTTTATTGTTTTCGTGTATCTAGTTTTTTATTCTTTTTTTTGTTCTTAATTTCGTTTTTTTTCTTTTTGATTGTTATTCGTGTATTTCTTTGCTTGATTTTCGTTTTGGTTGTTCTTTTATTATGTGATGATTCTTTTAATGTGTAATAATGATATAAATAATGATTCTCAGTTGTTATTTTTTCTATTTCTTACTTATATAATTACTCTGACTATTATTGTTAAAATGATTATTGTTATATCTATTATTGTTATTATTATTACTTTAATGATTAATGTTTTTATATTGCTGTTATTGTTATTATTAATACTGTTATTATCCATTATTATTGTTATTATATTGTTATTTATTACTGTTATTAATTATTAATTATTAGTAGTAGTAGTAGTAGTCGTAGTAGTAGTATCATTACTATTGTTATTATTGTTATTAATATTATTATTACTATCATCATTGTTATTGTTGTTATTGTTATTATTATTATTATTATTGTTTTTATTTTTCTTTATTTTATTATTATTATTATTATTATTATTATTATCATTATCTTTATTATTGTTTTCTTCATTTTATTATTTTGGTTGTTATTATTATTACTAATGTTTTATCATTACTTCAGTGATTATTATTATATTATTATTATCATTATTATTATTATTTATTATATTATCATTTATTATATTTATTATATTATATATTAATTATTATATTATATTATCATTATTATTATATTTATTATTATTATTATTATTATTTATTATTATTATTATTATATTATTATTATTATTATTATTATTATTATTGTTATTATTATTGTTATTATTATTGTTATTGTTATTGTTATTGTTATTATTATTATTATTATTATTATTAGTAGTAGTAGTAGTAATGTTATCATGATCATTATTATTTTTTATTCCTGGCTCATTCCCATTATTATTATTGTTTTAGATGTCGTCATTAAAGTTATTATTGTTGCTTAAGTCATGTTTATGTCGAGTTCACTGATTCCATTATCATCAGTAGGTTTAGTGATATTATTATTATTAGTATTCCTGTTGCATTATCAATTTTCTTATTTACTCCATTCTTGAACAAGCTTTCGCTCACCCATCGGAACATGTGGCAGCGAAAAAAAACTTTGATTGGATTTATTTAAAACGGACGATCGCGAACTTAAGACAACATAGGGGTGTGGCCCATGTTGGAGCACGGGTATGAATACGTCACGCACACACCACAGTCATTTGCTTTTACGACTGACACGTTCACTGCTTGAGACATGCACGGCGAGCGATTGTAGAGAGAGGCCCTGCCTGGCTTCCTGGTATGCTTTTAATTCGCGCACAGGCGGAGAGACACACACACACGCCCATGCTTGTAAGGGTCGTGAGTGAATGGGAGGTGTGGGTGTTGGATGGTGGTTTCCTCAGGTGTCGCTTTGTCCGTTTTGGGCGCTTGTGTGTTTTGGTTTTGGTTGTGGATTTGCTTTGCTGAGCTTTTTTCTTTCTTTGATTTCCTTTCTTGCATTTCTTCTGTTTGTTTGTTTTTCTTTCCTTTTCTTTTTTCTTTCTTTGATATTTTTTTTCTCTCATTCTCTTTCTTTCTCTCATTCTCTCATTCTCTCTCTCTCTCTCTCTCTTCTCTCTCTCTCTTCTCTCTCTCTCTCTCTCTCTCTCTCTCTCTCTCTCTCTCTCTCTCTCTCTCTCTCTCTCTCTCTCTCTCTCTCTCTCATCTCTCCCTCTCTCTCCCCTCTCTCTCTCTCTTCTCCCTCTCCTCTCCCTCTCTCCCTCTCCTCTCCCTCTCCCTCTCTCTCTCCTCTCCCCTTCTCCCCTCCTTTTCCCTCTCCATCTTCCCCTTTTCCCTCTCCATCTTTCCTCTCCTCCCTCTCCCTCTCCATCTTCCCCCCCCTCCCCCCCCTCCTCCATCCCCTCCCCCTCCCTTTTTCTGTACATGTTAACAAAAGATAATTGACATTGCAAACCATATCCACACGTTTCCTATTCTGAGTCAAAGCCAGGCCATCGAAACAGGCCAATGGAACAGACCGGGAACGCGATTAAGGAATTTTGGTCCGTAGACAGTCCGTCCTTAAGGGTGTTAATAGTTAGCAGTACTTTTGGATTGTCAATTCGCTGAAAAAATACAATAGGAGCGTTTGTCTTCTGGAATAAGACTGTAGAGTTGTGCACGAATATCGTAAGATTTGTGCATGGTATTTTATGTTTTTTTAGTATCTTTATGGATATCAGCAGTTTTTAAGGCAAATATATGTTATTTGTTGTAGTAAAGTGTATAATATATTGATGTTACGCTTTTTACT